CATAAGGTTTTACCGATTAAGGTTTTAACGAGGCATGATACAACCGCCATTCAAGGGGGAGTGTTATGAATTATTATTTAGTGAATGACTATTAGATTCTCCATATTCCCCCATTACTCACCATAATTAGTGAACATTATAGCAAACATTATTATGAGTTTTATGAGTGTAGTTATGCACCACTATAATGAGCATTCATATCATACATCATCTTTCTTCTTCTTTGTCTAGTATAAATAGTGAATATTATGTATTGTAAAGTTTGATGATTTCATCACAAATATTGGAATAAAAGTTCTCTTTATTCTCATGTCTTTCTTTATCTATAATGTATGTTGTTATCTGATCATATTTCATAACAAATTCATGTTTTTTTTTTCCGTTTCGGTTCGATTTTAGTTTTTTTTGTTCACTTTTATGAATTTTGATGTTCATCTTTTCATTTGAGCTTAATCCGTTCTTTTATATTAGTTAAATTTTGTAAAACTCAACTGAAACCTTATCAATCAAGACAATCGGATTTTATGTAACATTATTCTTTTGTCATATTAAATCAAACTAAAAATAAACATTTCACTTATGAAATTTTTATAAATATCTTGATTTGTTCATATAATTCATTAATTTTTAAATAATAAAAATCAAGCTATACAAAAATATTTTTCAAAACTTTAACTTTTGAATTGAACTTATAAGTATACATGATATTAAACTTAATTTTAATGATAGATTTATAATTATTATCAATTTATTATAAAATAAATAGAAATTAAGTGAATAATAAATCATATAACTTAAAATAACCTACATCACAAACACACAAAATTTAACATATTTTTCTTAACGTATGATAATTTAGACCTATCTAAAATCAGTTTCAAAAAATCAATTTTTTTTTTTGGATTGATCTCTTAACGGTGGATGGTTCATTCTTTTTTCTGGGCGGTCCGGACGACATCAAACCGGCCCAGATATTTTAGTAGCTGTCTCAATTTTTTTCTAACCAATCTTTTGCTCTTTACGTACACTTTTGTTTATTAAGTTTTGCGAAAGGAGGGGGGAGGGGGTTGTGATTAGCCAAAAGAAATATTATTTATTTTTAACAATAAAATAAGGTCATCCGTTATACCCACCACTAATCACTATAGTGGTGGGTGTCACATCATCACCACTAACTACCACTAAAAGGTTGGGATACTCACCACTATATCCTTCTTATTTTTTTATTATTAAAATAAAAAATATATACTTTTTAATTAATTAAATTGTAGAGAGGGATGGAAAAAGGTAGAGAGAGATAGAGAGTAATAGAGAGAGAATGAAGCCAAAAAAACCAACAACCAATCAAATTCTTCGTTTACATTCGACGTCGGGAACACGAACAACCACGATCACGCCCGACCACGGAATGTCGGGGTGGTGTGCACGAGCCTTTCTCGTGGCCAACTAGACCACGAATGAGTTCGTGGTAAGTATACCAGACGGTCTAAACTTTGTTCGTATTTATTTATAGCTCTTAAATTATATTGTTTTATAGGCATGTGATCTGGTATAAACTACAAATTTATTCAAGAGGATAAAATTTTAGATTTAGTTTAATTCATATAATTTTCAAAACTTTATTTCTCAAGATTAGAATTTTTTTTTTTTTTTAATATTTCTATCTGAAATTCAACATTTATGGTTCACTTTGTCATAAATTTCAACAAACATTTCAAAATAATAAACATCACATAAATTCGAAAGTCTTAATTTTAATTTAACTGGGACACCACAAACAAGAACAAGAGTAAATTATATGAATGGTACTTGGTTTAGGGTAATTTACGTATTTAGTTCCTAACTTATTTTTTTAACTCAAAAGGTCCCTATTGTTTGTTTTTGTTACGCGTTTGGTCACTGTTTTATCTAAAAAGACTATTTTGCCCTTGGTTTTTTAATTTATTTAAATAAACACATCCTCACCTTACCTTACATACCCTATCATTTTTCCTTATTTAAATAATTGTATTTTTAGGTAAGACAGAGATCAAAAAAAAAAAAAAACAAACAGTATGGACCAAACACGTAATAAAAACAAACAGTAGAATACTTCCGAGTTAAAAAGTTAAGTTAGGGATCAAATGCACAAATTACCCGAAACCATAAGGATCATTCGTGTAATTTACTCCAAGAACAAGTTGTTGCAACTATGTTTTTTGTTTAAGATACTTATGAATTAAACTTCAAAATAAATTAACAAAATACCATTACGATATTAAATTACAAACATCATTACCAAATTAAAAGAAAAGATAAACTTCTTTCACTAATAAAAAAATAACAACAAGCTTTCACTTTTATTTTCTGATGCTAACTGTAAGTCTATAACAAAAAACATTATCTTGGTCAACAAAACATACAAAAATCAATAATTCTAACGTGTCTCTAAACTAATTTTTTCTTTGATTCTTATTTGAATTTTCATAGAGATATCCTAATTGTGATGGAGAAACTTTATGCTCAAGTCCTTGACATCACCATGGTGAGCCTTTATTTGCTCTCACCACCATAACAACATGAAGTGTTTTAACCAAGCATAAAAGCAAAAGTAGGGTAAACAGGGTATATAACTGCAGGGAAAAAAGTTCCAAAATCAAGTTGGTTTTCTTAATAGTACAAGGTATGAATATTTACTTTCTAATCCTGAACTCCACTTCCCTGAATGTCAAGATGTCAAGAGAATATCATGCAAATAATAAGAAATGTCATATAAAAGCTAAAAAAAAGTCATAATAATGTAAAAAAATAGAAAAATGGTTTACCAATAAAACTGCAAGAATATAATTTTCTTAGCCATACCCATTTTGCACATGCATAAAGATTGACTAATCTGAACCACAATTCCAATCGTAAAGAAGAAATAATGACTAAAAACATATCATTATAATGTGATTATAAGAAGCATCGACCAAACCGTGCTGTCATACAAAACAACCAAAGCATCTACTTATGTTTTTAAATGCACAAATTTAGACATAAAAGCATTTAACAACTTAAACAACTTTACTGAAACAAATTTACACCATCCATCAAGATATATGAATGTCAATAAAAAAACATCACTTTAACAATTAGTAGGACATGGAAATAGATAAGGTAAAAGGACCATCCATAAAGATCTATTAAGAAATAAATACATAAGAAAAATAAAAATATAAGCTACAAATTGATTAACAAATGAAAATAAAAGAACTACTTTTGGTGCAGATTACATTTAACAAAATTGCAATATATGCACAAGATTTATAAAAGATATTCGATTAGGGCCGATAAGAACCATAAATGGCTCAAAATGACCTCAAGACAACAACTAAGTTAAATGTGTGCGAGAATAACCTGAGATCAGACACACGACACATAAACATTACATCATCGTCATCAAATTTTTGCAAGTAAAAAACCAATTTGTGAAGAGTAAATAAAAACAAGTTATGCTTCAACCTAATAAATCAACATTTGGTACTAATTTTGGGAAAAAGTCAATTGAAACCTACCAATTTTCATTGGCCATGTTATGCATGTGGCATGATGTGTTCTAAAGATCAACAAAAGTAGGAAACCAAAGGCATTTGGTGATAAAGAAAGTATCTAAGATCGCCATTTGTTTTTTCTTGTTCATCGATTGCATCATCAACAATGAAGTCAACCATTTCATCTTCTTCCTCTTCAAAATTTATTAAAGATATTCGATTAGGGCTGATAAGAACCATAAATGGCTCAAAATGACCTCAAGACAACAACTAAGGGGCTGTTTGGCAGGATTTGAATTTTTAAGAGATTTGAATTTCTAAGAGGGTCTGAATTTTTAAGATCTGAATTTTTAAAATGTTGTTTGGTTGGAACCTCTGAATTGCTGTGCTGAATTATCAAAATGACCATTTTACCATTTTGTATTATTTTTTGCTGAATAATTAAAAAAAATACAAAACACCATATAAAATCCAAATTAACATAAATTAAAATTTATCTTCAATAATTTATAATGATCTTTTGAGATATATTTACAAAAATAACATCATTTTTTGCATCCCAAGGATTTCAAATTTAAAAAACAAAATATTTGACATTGAATGGAGATATAAATGACAACAAACTTGCAACCGAACAGTTGATGATCGATTTGTACTCCTTGTCCGTCATTACATCAAACACGATAGCCCCTCAATTTTTTCTGTCAAACATTTCAACCTACAAATCCAAATTCAACAAGGAAACAAATAAACACTTTAAACATATATATAGAAACTGCATATCAAATCCGTCACCAACTTTTCAAAGTATGTTGCTAGAATCGATAATTTATCAAAATCTCCAATTGTTATAACTTGTATAAACTACTTTCAATTCATATAAAGTTCATTCATAACCTGTATAAACTACTTTCAATTCATATAAAGTTCATTCATAATTGCTAGATAATGATGCACCATCATTTATGTATCAAACTCCATATGATATGAATCATTCACCAAACGAATGTTATCTTTATGTTCTATTTCCAATTCACCAATGAATTTGTTGTTTTCTTTGATAAAATCTACATTATTAACCAACCATATTATATCATCTTCTACCTTAAGATTTCAAACAATATTCATATTTTCTTTATGAAACCTTGATACTAGTAATAACAGGTTCTATCAAAATTTATCATCTCGATCCTGTACATGATCGGACATGAAATACAAAGAAAATTAAAATATAGGACTGATAATCGAGTTCTAGGGCAAAAAAAAGAAGAAAAAATCGATGTATTTATAAGAATTAGTTTTCAGGGGGGAAAAGAAAGAACAATCGATCTATATTTACAGAGACATTAATGTCGGAAGTAAAAAAAAAACTTGCCTGCAATGATGGCGTCGTTGGCGGTGCTAGCGGAGGCTGGCGGAGGCGGTGGCGAAATCAATGTCGGAGGTAGCAGATGATTATAGATCGGAGAGGTCGGAGAAGGGGCGATGATGTCGGAGCTTGGCGTCAGAAATCGTGGTGTGAGTCGATTTCAAGGAGGTCGATGGCGTGAGGAGGTGATCGGTGCCGGAGATGGTCGGAGCCTCGAAGGTGGGAAGAGACGAAAGAGCGATCTGAAGGGGGTGTGTGGTTTTGGAGGCGTGTATCAGTGTATGAGGGTGAAAAGGGGAAGGAAGCGTGCGTTTTTTTTTTCAGATGCAGTTTAAAGTCTGAAAGTTTAAGAGGATTATATAAAATTAAGAGGCTTTTATTCATATGCTACCAAACACTCTTAATCTGAAGAATTAAGAGTTTACCTTTTAATTTCTCAATTAGGAGGCTACTAAACAGCCCCTAAGTTAAATGTGTGTGGGAATAACCTGAGATCATACACATGACACATAAGCATTAAATCCTCGTCATCAAATAGTTGGCACTTGTTTTTTGTTGGGGGTGTTTGATTAACATGGGAAGAAGATGATAGTTGGGAAATGGGTTTAAAGGTTTTCCAGCATGTGTGTGTGTGTGAGAGAGAGAGAGAGAGAGATAGCTGCTCTGAATCCTACAAAATGATTTCTTCTTGTGTACATAAATCATCTGATTTACTTACAGATCTTTCACAATCTGATGTCTTGCTGGGAATCGTCTTTATGCCCAAATCTTCAAATCGATTCATATGTTTTCCCGAAAGAATCAACATTACAACGTTCAACTAAAGGCAATTGATTCGCAGATTCACCTTCGTTGCATCTACTTTCATAACCTTCTTCTAACTCAAGCTTTACACCTTCAGAAAAATTTTCCTGGGACTGAGATTTAACCTTCAAACCATCACAAGGCTCCCCCACTTATCCATTACAGTATTTAAGTCTAATTTGCATTCCGGATAGTGAAACAGAAACACGACCAAATTTATGAGTGTTTGTGTGTTTTTTTGAAGAACCCTGTTCTTGAATTTTAACAAACCTAGAGAGAGAGATAGTGAGAGAGAGGGTTGGGTGAGATTTTATTTTTTATTTTTTATTTTTAATTATAACAAAATAAATAAAGAAAAAAGAAAAATGAAATGAAAAGGGTAAAATCGACTTTTCAAGTGTATCAAGGACCAAAAACCAGAAAAACCTTGATTTTGAACATTCCATGCAAGTTGGAAACTTTTTGGACCCTATGAAAAGTTTTTTGAATACCATAGGGACCAATCTTGGTAGTTTTTTTTTCTCAAAATCGTGCAAAAATTAAGTGAAATTGGTGATGAGTTTACACCATTTTGGTGTAAAAAAGAGGATTTGAGTGGATACAAAGATGCCCTTATAAACAAATCCAATCAAACTAATTTAATAAATGGGAGAAAGTTGTACAATTCTGTAGCCACTGCCCTGCAACTGAATTACCACTTCTACTTGCTTAATTGAATGGAAAGACTAAAGAGGACCATCACATCTTTTTTTTTTGTAAGAAATGGAGAGATTAGAGAAATCTTTGCAAAATTAAGTGTAAGGATTTGAAATAGATTTTTAAAAATGGAGTAGTTTTAGAAATAGGTTTCTTGTTTAAATTACATAATAATTTTTATTCTCATATCTTCTAATTTTTACTATTCTTTATAAGTTTACTCATTGTGAGACCTATGTATTACATGAGTTAATTTAAAAAAAAAATTAAATATAAAGATTAAAATATTTGAGAACTTTGAATTTTGAAGAAAATAAGAAAAATAATGAATTATTATAATTGAAATGTTTTTTATCTTTTAAATTTAAATAAATAATTTAAATAAATAAATAAAAGAAACTAATGAACTTTAATTTGGAAATTTTGAAATTAAAAGGTAAGTTCATCAATGAAATTGGTATCCATATATTACTACATTTATTGAAATTATTATACTAAAATATTATGTGAGTTTAATAAAATCGAAAAACTCATAAAATGACATGTAGAAAAAAAAAGTAATTCAAAGTGACCACAAAATGACATTTGAGACATTGAATGAGAGTGTGACATGTGACAAAAAAACCTTCATTTATTAGAGTAGATTATATTTTAATATATAACTAGATTATAACCCGCGTTAAACTCGGGAGAACACATAAAAAAACATAAAAACATCTATAAATATTGCATAATAATTAAAAAGGAAAACTTATGTGAAACAAATGAAAACAAACATAAACTTAAAAATCAAAATAAATTACTTGTCAAACAAATCCATAAGCAAACAATAAAAAATAATAAAAAAAAGTCTTCAAACTAAAATGTCAAATAATGATGAATGGCTTGAACTTATTCGAGCTTTTCTATTTTTGGGATCTTCAAGAAAGGAGCAACAACACCATTCGAATAAGACCATTTAAATGATTTGGTGGTGCTAACAATCTCAATAAGCTGCTTCACTGAAGTAGTTGTTGGCGGTAACAATCTCAAATGACTCGGTGGTGGAAAGATAGTACATTTGATTTTATCCTCAATAATCATCTCATAGTCCAATGATGAGAACTGTAAAAAAAAAAAAAAAAAAGCAAAAAGAGCATCATTAATGTAGAAATAAATTCATATGTTACCTGTTTGATGTTAATTTTTTTTTCAATTGAGCAATGATTGTATTATCAGCAGTAAACTTTAAGATTTTATTACCATCAACTTTGTTCTTCAAAATTTGAATTTTGAACGCCAACTTTTTTTTATCCAAAAGTACATTCAAAACAGATGGATAAATCTCCATATTACCCTACTAAAAATGAACGGTTATAAAAATAGATAGACAAAAAGTTAAAATTAGTTTTATGTAAATGAAGTTAATATCGATAACCTCATTAAAATTTTGAAGCAACTCTTGCGCAGTTTTTTCAAGAAGTATCTCTACGTTACTATCAAATAATGTAAGTGACACCAAACCGGTAAAGTCTTATACTCTAATGGTGATTTTGAAACTAAAATCATTGATATAAACAAATTCAGTAATATAAAATTACAAAGTTTAACTGAACATTATAATAATATATATAAAAGAACTATTGAAAACCTTGGAACAACATATATCTCTTTGCTAATGCAAGTTGAAGTGTAACAATAAAAAACTTCTTTATCTTGAAGTTGATCCTCATGCATTAAACGACTTTTATAGCTTTCTGTTGACATTTAGTACAAGCCAAATAGTACCATTCAGCATCAGAACACACATGCTTAATCGTACCGACAACAATCAATGTTTTTTCTTGAAATATATTAATTTAACTTTAAATTATATGATAAAAAAAGTAAAATGAAAGATTAAGATAAAAATAATCCAAAAAGTAGTTCACATAATATTTTTTTTATAAATGAAAGTTAGGTATATAAACCTCGTGTCTTTGTTGGAGATTAGCAATATTCTGGAAATCAAATTTATGAAAGAAATCTTCATTTTCAGAGTAGACGATGGAGGACGAAAGGGTTGCTAGAATTAACAATTATGCTTTGAGCCATGTATTTGGTTGTGAAAAAAATAATGATTGTTAAACACGTGTGACTCAACCAAATACCCATTTTCTTCGTATTTACTCTGGAACGCCTTAATGTAAAAATTGAATTAATATTATATTATCGGGTTCTATGCAGAAAAGTCTCATTATTTTGGGAAAATTTTTAATAAAGTACTAAAAGTTTTTTTTTAACAATAAAGTCCTGATTATTTAACATTTTGCCTTCAAATTAACGAAAAAGTCATTTTTTATATTTTAACAGGAAATTACAGATTATATGATTTCCTTAAAATAATGAGCCATTTCTATTAAAAAAAACTTTTAAACCTTTATCAAAAAATTACATAAAATAATAAGACTTTTCCACATAAAACCTGAATTAGTCTTATTATAAAAAAAACACTTTTTGGTCAAAGACATGTTACTCCTTTCCTTTTTAGATTTCATCCAATATAATTTTACCCTGCCCTTCCTCTAATATTTCCCCTTTTGTTTTAAAGCCCTTCGTCCCGCATTCCCCTTTGTGTGTAAATTAGATTTCTATTCCACTGAGGCTTTGAGCCCTAAATCGCCAAATCGGTCTCCTGTTCCATCGAACGAAGAACACTCAGGTCGTGCTGCTTTGGCGTCGCCTACACTATTGCGGCAGTGTTCTTCTCGAATGATGAATAAACCCTGCCATCTTCATTCCCACCATTGCAGTGGTGTGCTTCTCCATCGCAACACGCTTGCGTTTAGCGGTAAATATATCATTGATTAGGGTTGTTTTTTTTGGTCGATTTTGATACTTCTTTTGAATTACAAGTTCATTTAATATGGGCAAGTTATGGTAATGATGTACAATTCATCATCAGCAGATGAAGTTGGATCAAGGAGGCAGGAGCATAACAAATGTAAGGGAATTCAATATCCAAACACATGGTATGTTATGATTTTATCAGAATACTAATGATGTTAATACTTTGACTGTTCAGCGTGATCTTAGTGACTTAGAACTAAACTTGGAGCCCTTTATGGTGGATGATCTGCATAAAGACGAAAACTTTCAGCACATTGATGATCAACATCAATCATCGAGTTCTGCAGATGTTCTATTGGACATGGATGCATCTCATCAACCAGAACAGGTGGAAGTTTCCTCATCAAATTCTAATGGAAGATCCCATGAAAACACTCAACAGGAAGAAGTTATATCTCAACCAGAAGAGGAGGATACTGAAGAACTGCAGGTAACAATATATAAGAATGTCCTTTTTGGTCCTTTGTTATCTATCCGTTTATTGAAATACAGAAATTTTCAAAATTTACCAAACACTCAAACAACTGAGTATCTAATTATCATAATCTTGACCTTCCTACTATTATAATAATTCACATTCAAACTTTTAAGATTTTTTTTTTTTTTTTTTTTTTTTTTTTTGCAGCGAAGTGGTTTTAGAAACGAATATTGTATCTTTATGTGAAAGCCGGTTTAACTTTGACCTTGGCCATTAGTTCATTCTCAACTTCTTTCTTAGAGTCATTGGTTTTATATTGGGTTGTGATTGACATATTGTTTTCAAGAACTCCAGGGTAATTTCGCTAAAAGATGTTCCAATATTATTTCTTTTAGAAATTAATTTATTTCTTGTTGAGTTTAATGAAATGTTTTTATTAGATATTTTTTTCCCATAAAAGAGCTTCAAGTCTAAAGAATTTAGAGTTGTATCTTCAGGAACTTGATAACAAAAATGGTATATATATATATATATATATATATATATATATATATATATATATATATATATATATATATATATATAACAGTAGTGAAAATTTAAAAACTCATTTTGTTTGAATGTATGATAGGCCAAGGGATTAGGATTAGGGAAGGGAAAAGGTTGTGTGCTCAGCTACCACTGTAACTACTGCACATGCCCCTATTTGTTGTTGCGTTCAACACCAGTTTCTTGGAAGTATCCATTTTCTTTTTCCTTTTTTTCGGATTATAATATTTAATATGTTGTTCCTATGATATTTTAGTGCTCATATTAAAATTTTAATACTATATTTCTTTATCATTTTCGACAATTAAAAATTTAGACAAAAAACTTATATCTTATTATATCTTATTAATTTAGTAAAATTTTATAAATCTTTTGATTTTTCATTATCATTCTTAATTATCACTATTATTTTTCTTTCTTACAAGTGGTTTCTAAAACTAATTCATAACATTTATGTGTGTTGGTGTGTTGCAGGCTTATTAATTTAAAAAGTTATATTTTTTTGTTTTTATACTCCTTTAACTTTAAGTTTTAACCACTAACAAAACAAAACTATTAAGCTATATCCCTGGTTTTTTTAGGCTCATATCATTATAGTGAGAGAAAGACAAAGAGAAAAGGAGTTACGAAAAGGAAAGAGTAGCACCTGTGATGTTTTTGGTCGGATTATTGTTCTGATAACGACGGAATCAGACACGGAATTGAGCAGCTACGACGATGGACGATAGACTGAGACACGAACTGTAGTTCAACGAACGGATAGTCGCTTTCAATTCCGGGGGCGGCGGCTGCAATCTCTGGTCGTGACACAACACTCAGCAAAGCAGATTGCTGTTTGGAGACACAAAGGGTATTCGTTTTTAAAAGACACAAAAGTCAGCTAGGGTTTTCTCGTTTGAAGTTTGGCGGTGGTTTATGTTTTCCGGTTAGTTGTTTTTCCAGCAAAGCATCATATTGGTGATATTTAATCTAGGTTTCGTATTTTCTGGATGATTGAGATCGTAAATTGAATATTAGATTAGGGTTTTGGTTTTCTATAGAGTTTTTAGTTTCCTAAAATTATGTATCCTAATCGTATTTGAATTGTAATTGATTTTTTTCAGCAATTTTATGGTTTTTGTATCCATACATAAAAGTGGTTTGATTATTTCTTTATTATATTAACACAAAAAGTCTTAAAAAAAATCTTATTAATAATTTACTTTTTTATAAATATTTTTCCTGTGATTGCCACGGGTTGTAAAAGATAAACATAATCAGTTTGGAACCAGAACCGGGAACTGGACCGCCGATGTCGGTGTCGGTGTCGATGCCGGTTCCTTTCCTGGTACCGGTTATTGGTTATTTTTTAAAATAATCTTTTTTCAAAGTAACTTTTTCTATTGTAGATGAGTTTATTTGATAATTTCGTGGCTTATCATGGATAAATCAAATGAAAGTATTTTGATAAATAAGTTAATTTGATTACAAAGCATGATGCAAGTTTAATAAATATACATAGGGGTGCAAACGAGCCGAGCCGAGCCCGAGCCTGGTCAGGCTCGGCTCGGGCTCGTTTAAGTTATACGAGGCTCGAGCTCGAGCTCGGCTCGATTCGAGCTTCTTGTATTGAACTCGGCTCGAGCTCGTAAATAATTATACAAGCTTGACTCGGGCTCGGGCTCGGCTCGTTTATTGTTTGACGTGCCTAAATAAGCTTAAGTTCGGCTCGAGCTCGTTAAGAAGCTCGTTTACTAATATCCTAAATTCCTAATCCCCAAATGTGTTTTTATTTTAATATATAAAAATAATACGAAATTATTTTATTTAAAGGCTCGTTTAGGCTCGCGAGCCTAATCGAGCTTAGTGACATAGGCTCGAGCTCGAGCTCGTTTAATAAATGAGCTTAATATTAAGCTCGAGCTCGGCTCGGGCTCGTTTAAAATCGGTTTCGAATCGAGCTTTTAACAATCCGATCCCGAGTAGCTCACGATAAAAAATATAATTAATAAACATATAAGATTTCAATAAATATGAAAATATAATACAAATTAATAAAAAATTAATAAACTTTTATTATAGTTGTCATCATCTAAAAGAGGTAGAAGGATAGTCAAGAAAAAGAAGTATGAGGGATTTTAATCTCTCTAATTTTTTATTGATAAAATATTAGGTAGGATTTGGTTTATAGAATGTTTTTCTAAGGAATTGGATCTGTCAAAAGAAATGAAATTTGAACCAAGCAAAATCTGTCAAAAAAATAATAATAATGGTTGAAATTTTTTTTATTTAAAAAGAGATGATAAGGGTATTTTGGTCTTTTTGCAAAAACAGAAGAGTTAATTGAATTTTAAAACCAATGTCAACATTTTCATTGAATTTTAAACCATTTATAAAACACCACAAGAATAAAAAAAATAATAATTAAACAATATCACTTTCTTTGAATATGACCTAACCATTAAAATAATAATCGCTTATTTTTCCCTCCCTTGGAAGCCCATCCACAGCTGAGATTTTCAATTCTTTTAACTTGTCATCCTTTGTTCTCAACACTCTTAGTAACACAACCTAAGAAGTTATTTCCATTCTAATGGAATCAACTATTCCATTCCGTTCCATAATTCCATTAAACCAGAACGGAATTCTACTTTACCTGTGCTGAGTAAGGGGTAATGACTCCAATATTAGAAGCATGTACACCAATTTGAATCAACCTTCTTGCATGTGGTATAGCAATCTCAGCTTCACCTTCATTCAATGTGCTTTCTTCATAATCCTTCTTTTCCTCCATATCACACCTAAAAATATAATTATTTTTTTTCAGAATTCATAAAATTTATAAGGTTAGATCAAATATCAAATATGCATACCCTTCAATGTCTATGAGAAGAAGAGTAGGTTCAGTGGAACAAGAAGACTTCTCAACACCTTCAAGCTCATGTAGGGTATGTCCAGCAACACTTGCATGAGCTTTAATCTATCATTATTAATTAATTCATTACTCATTATTATTATAACAAATATAATTAATTGATAAATAAGGTTAATAAAAAAAAGGTCAGAATTAAATAGCTTTTGGTAATTGTATTGTGTGTATTCTATGTTACAGGAGATAAATATATAATAGATATAGTTACAATTTAGCCCCTATACTAATATTATGTTGTCTAATATTCCCCCGCAAGCTAATGCCGGTTAAGGATATTGAGCTTGGATCGTAACCCCTCAAATCTTTGTGAAGATAATGGTTTAGTGAATATATCAGCGATCTGATCATCTGTGGATATGAATTGAACTGAGAGACGCTTTGCTGCAACCTTCTCCCTAACAAAGTAGAAGTCAATCTCAACATGTTTTGTGCGAGCATGAAATACAGGATTAGCAGACATATAGGTGGCACCAAGATTGTCACACCAAAGAACTGGAGGTGTCATGACTGGAATGCACAGTTCACGTAATAAGGTTTCAAGCCAAGTAACCTCAGCAATAGTATCAGCAAGAGCTTTGTATTCCGCCTCGGTGGATGACCGAGATAGAATCTTCTGTTTCCTTGCTGACCAAGAAACAAGGTTCTTCCCAAGATATATAGCATATCCCCCGGTGGATCGACGGTCATCCGGGCACCCAGCCCAATCAGCATCAGAATAAGCAGTGAGCAGAGGATTATGCCCATCACCATAGGCATGAATGGTAGTATCTCGTGAGGACGTGAGACGTAATCCAAAGGTACTGGTGCCTTTAAGGTATCGAAGAATCCATTTAACCGCTGACCAATGATTAACCGTAGGAGAATGCATGAACTGGCACACTTTGTTGACGGCATAAGAAATATCTGGCCTAGATAAAGTGAGATATTGTAGAGCCCCAACTGTCTGAAGATGTCGAATAGGGTTATCAAAGGGAGCAATGTCACCAAGAGTAAGAGAAGTGTCGGTAGGAAGGGGAGTGCTTACAGGCTTGGCATCAGTAAGCCCTGCATGTTGAAGAATATCTAACACATATTGTTGCTGAGATAAGAAAAGATCAATGCCACAAGTTGTAACAGAAACACCAAGAAAATAAGAGAGAGCCCCCATGTCTTGAATAGCAAAGGTCTCACTAAGATTTCGAACAATATGATCAATAGCCCCCGGATTATTACCAGTAATAATAATATCATCAACATAAACTAACATGAAAACCTGTATACCCTTAGCCGAGAGGATGAAAAGAGAAGGATCAGTGTGAGATCCTCTAAAACCGAGAGTATGGAGATCACGAGACAGGCGGTGGAACCAGGCGCGTGGAGCTTGTTTAAGCCCATACAAAGACTTATGAAGCAAGCAAACATGATTAGGTCTGTGTGAGTCAACAAACCCTGGTGGTTGGCGCATGTAAACGGTCTCATGAAGTTCACCATGAAGGAAGGCATTTTTAACATCAAGTTGTCTGAGGGGCCATTTGTTGGATACTGCAAGAGAGAGAACAACTCGGACCGTGGTAAATTTGACAACCGGGCTAAAGGTGTCATGATAGTCAATCCCGGGTTGTTGATGAAAACCTTTAGCAATAAGACGAGCTTTGTAGCGCGAAACCGAACCAGTCTGATCCCGTTTGATTTTGTAGACCCACTTGCAATCAACAATGTTAATGTTAGGTTTAGGAGGAACAAGAGTCCAAGTGCCATTTCGAATAAGAGCCCCATATTCATCAGCCATTGCTTGTTGCCATTTGGGATGTTTAACTGCAGCGGAAAAGGTTGTTGGTTCCTGTTCGTGGGTAGTAGTGGCATGAAAGACCGAGGGGTCAAATGGTTGAGTTTTTTTCGGGTGTTGACGCAGATTAGCTGGGCGTGGCCGAGCATCGGATGGGGCCTCGGCAGGGGATGATTGGGCGACGACAGGAGCCGTCGGAGGGTCAGCGGGATCGGTTTGGGTGTCAGTAGCGGTCGGTGGTGCATCAGTTTAAACAGGGAGGCGGCGTCTCCTGCGTTCATAGGTACGAAAAGGTATGTTGTCAGCAGCAGCGAAACTTGCTAAAGGCTCGGTGGCAATGGGTGCTTCAGGTATAGTAGGTGAAGGATAGGTTGACACATAAGGGTCGTGTGAGGTTGTCTGAAGTGGTACGGGTTTAGGTGCCAAGAATGGAAAAGATGTTTCATGAAACCGGACATGTCGAGAAATGTATATCTTGTCGGTGGTAGGGTCAAGGCACCGGTACCCGTGATGAGAGGAGCTGTACCCAAGAAAGATACATGCAATGGATCGGAAATCCATTTTGTGTTGATTGTAGGGTCGGAGATGAGGGAAACATTGGCACCCAAAAACTTTAAGAAATTAGAAATCCGGTTTACGCTTAAAGATAGTTTCAATTGGAGAGACATGAGAGGTGGTACGAGAGGGCATCCGGTTTATGAGATAGACCGTCGTATCAAAGGCAAAATGCCAATAAGTAGTCGGAACCCCCGATTGAGCAAGTAAAGTCAAGCCGGTTTCAACAACATGACGGTGACGTCTCTCAACGAGACCATTTTGCTCACTGGTATGAGGACAAGAGAGACGATGGATAATGCCCATAGAGGTAAAAAATTGGGTAAGTTTGCGAAATTCACCACCCCAGTCTGTTTGAACCGACTTGAGTTTAGTAGAGAATTGACGTTCAGTCACAGCAACAAATTGTTTAAACACATCAAAAACATCAGATTTACGTTTAAGAGGGAAAATCCACATAAAGCGAGAGAAATCATCAACACATAATAAAAAATAGTTGTGACCATCAATTGAGTTAACAAGAGCCGGACCCTAGACATCACAAACAACAAGATCTAAAAGTTGTTTACTATTAAAGCTTGAAGTAGATAAATGAAGTTTTGATGATTTGCCAATATGACAAGAGTTACAAAAAGAATCTGAAGATTTGCTAGAAACAGGAAGACAATACTTAGAAAACATAAAGTTCAAAAGTTGTGTATGAGGATGCCCCAGCCGTTGATGCCAAATATCAAAAGAAGCTCTGATACCAAAATAGCTTTTGGTAATTGTATTGTGTGTATTCACGTAACATGTACAGGAGATAAATATATAATATATATATAGTTACAATTTAGCCCCTATACTAATATTATGTTGTCTAATAGAATTAAATTACCTTATTGTTGTAAAGCTTTTTAGAAGACCAACTCATTATAAGTTCATGCATGCAATATTGCATAGTCAGCATAGACATGACAGCATCTCCATATAAATCTGCAAGGTGTTTAAAAAGAGTCTTTCCTAATCCCTTTTTTTAGCTTCAACACTTCGAATTGTTGGAGGAAGTTGTAAATGATCCCCTGAAAGTAAGCACCTTGAACCCTAAAAAAACAAAATTCCTTTTACTTCAATCATCCAATATGTTGCCAATTTAAAAAAAAGTTTTGTTTTGTTACCTTGAAAAGAGTAATCCAACAAGCAATCTCTAGGCCTGATCAGCTTCATCAATAATGAGTAAATCAAATGAAATTCCATCTAATTTTCTTGATGATGAACCTGTGAGAGTTGCTAGAACGACAAATGAATTTTAAATTACATTTGTCACAGCAAGTTGTTGCCTTTTGCCTTCTTCTTTTGAAAGAATCCTAAGTTTTTATGGATTTCCCTCTTTGTGTTTTTATCTTTAGCTTTCAACAATTTACTATTTAATACCGTCATTTCTTTTTGGATGTCATTGGCAAGAGAACTATTATCCCGAAAGTAACACCTAACAATAATTAAAATCATTTAAAATACATTTTTTTTATTAAGTTAATGGTTATACTTATAATTTATATTCCAAACCTGTGCATCAAGAGCACTATCTAATACTTGAGGTAGTGACCTTGCAGGATGACCCACTCTCACTAACTTTACTCTAATCCTGAAATTAAAAATTGGGATAGAATTCAATTAGAAAATTTAAAAAAAAACAAATAAATTATAATTAGCTAGTGATAAAACAAATCGATCATGGTTGGTGAATGATGACATAGAGTAGCAATCAGATTTCCTTTTAAAAAAAAATCCGTTGTTCTATTGAGATTAATATTATAAAAATATAAAAATACATACAAATTAGACTTACAGAGTATAGAATATCACCAGTAAAACAATTATTCACAAATTCAACAATTACAGTGTGAGAGGCATGGTGACACAGTAACAAACGCAAATGATTTTTACACTCCAGTCACATAATAATGAGATAAAGAGATCTAGAGAGAAGATTAACCACGTTATGAGGTAGAAAAAGTAGCTAAAATTGTGAGGTACTTACTATCGGAGAGGGGCAAGACCGCAAGAGGCGCAGGAGTAGAGACTAAACCAAAAGACAAAATTGTCACCCTGAAATAAAAAAATAAAAATAAAAAATAGGAATTTGTTTTGACAAATCAAATGGAATCGTAAGCATTGACTTTTGCTATTCAGCAATGTACCTTTATAATAATTTGTTGGAATGTAAGGGTAAAACAGTCATTTAGTCAAAATTTGAAGTAAATCGGGTATAAAGTAGCACTTTCACTGAAGAATGCTTAAAAAACCTCTGAGTTTCTTCATCATTAGTCCCCATCACACGTTGCTACAAAAAAAAATGAATTTTAATAATAAGGTAGAATGTAAAAGCATTCTGTGATTTTGAAACACAACAATTGCAAGAACTTACAACAGCTAAAAGCATATCCATAAAATAAAGATGCAAAATATATGGCAGCAGAAATATACGCAAAATTTAAGAGCGGGTCCCACCAACCTAAAGCATCTATAAAACCTCTTAAGTGAACGGAAGTTATTAAAAACCAACATGGTGATCTTATCGTTCATATACATGATACTCTTTGATTGATAAATGGATTCACTAATATATATATTTTTAAATTAGTATGTAGATGATAACCAAAAATATTACCACATAGGTTTAGGAGGGTGAAGACGGTGGTAGCAATGCAGAAAACAATGGATATAGCAACCCAGAAATGCTAAAAAATAATAGAATTTTTAGACTATAAGGACAATGGTCTCTTTCAATTAACTTTGAGAACAAAAGTGAAGGCATGTACATATGAATATACTTTCTTTATGAAATGAACTTACAGGAAGTGTCTCCCATATTACATCATCGCTCACATTTTCATCATCTCCAACTAATAAGGCCTTGTTCTGTTATCTACATTGCAAATTAACAGAATCCAGTTGTAAAGGGAATAGACAGTTTTCAAAAAATAAATAAATAAGCACCTGAAATTGTCAACAAGAATGGTTACTTCAAATGCCAACAGAGGAAGGAAGACAACCTGCAAGATTACACGTTTAGATTTATTAACTAAACAAAACAAAATTAGTATGGAATTAGAAGCTTGAATGAAAACAATATACATAATATTATTATGTTAACGGTTAATAGAATAACTGAATAACATCATATGTTACAATAATATCCTTCAAACTATAACAACCACCAATATTTGATAGGATTTATAGTTTTTATAACTTGGATGTGTGAAGGCTTGTTGCAATCAATTTTTTGTCATTGATGCACTTACAACTTTTATCGAGACCTGTAAGGCATTTCATCGAATGGGTGGTGAGTGAAAGCTGAAAATTTCCACTCACGCTAAATGGAAAGCTACAATCATGTGAGGGTTTTGCAATACGCTACAATCATCGATTCAATCAAAAAAAGTGAGAGAAGGAAGCAGGTCCTCAACAACAGTGTCTCCGGCTAGTGTTTTTACAAGGAGTCAATCATACTGTTGAGAGGGAAGAAGTTTTAGGTAAGCATGTGAGGGTTAATGGGGAATGGATGGTAGGTTACCTTCTTGTAGGCTGTAACGATGGCGTACAGAGGGTAGTGGTAACAAACGGTTTCCGGATACTCAAGAGATAAAGGGAAGAGAAATAGGAGATCTTGTTTGACAACGCCATTGGTGTGTAAAGGAGATTAGGATTTTCAACATGTAGAAGATAAGATTGTAAGTTACGATCGGACGCGCATGTATACTTTGGTCAAGGTTACGTCATCAAAAAGATCAAAGAAAAGTTAGGATTGAAATTTAATCAATGGTTCTGATTGCTTCATTGGTGAATTAAAGGTTCTCTTTTAATAATATTTAGAGATCTTTGAATTACATAATAAGATGTATCTATAAATGCCATAACCAATCTCAAACCAGAAATGGTTGTATGCGAACCAAGTGCATTTGCTTATCTGATTGATAACCTTTACAATTTTGTTTTTTCTAAATTAATATATCGGGTAAATTACACGAATGGTCCTTGTGGTTTGAGGTAGTCTTTGCGCTTGGTCCCTAAAAACTTTTTTGAACTCGCACCGTCCCTATAATATATTTTCATTGCGTGCTTGGTCCCTATCAAACTTAAAAAGACTTTATTGACCCTGCATATTTCTTTTTTGTATTAATTTAATGTTTATTGATTATTTATTTATATTAGAAATTGTTTACTAAACATGTGGGTCCTACCACCCTATTATCCCACCCAAGCCAACCCACCCTCCTCACCCCCTTCTTCCTTTTCCGTTCTAGCTACTCCAACACCGACCACTTTTTCATCTTCTCCGGCAAGAAACAAGTGCCAAATATTAAACAAACCATATTAAATCAACATAATGTCAATCTAAATAGAATCATACCAGAAAACGTTTTTGTTCATTACAAGGAAACAAGAAATGCAAGAAAATCAAATTTGACAAAGTTGAGTCGACCAAAATACAAAAAATAAATACCATTAGTTCATGAACAAGGTAACAAAAGAAAGTTCTTTCAGACATGAATCAAAGCAAATTTAGCCCTCAGATCTCAGGAAATCCAAATCCAAAACAGTTAAAAAACCACTTCATTTTCTCCAACAACACTGCAAAAGATCTCTAAAAAGCTTCAAAATTGAATCCAAACCAGTTGCAAAAAGACCTTCAAACTTTTCACTTTAAAATCGATTTCTTCCTTCAAAAAATGAATCCTTCAGATGCCAAAAACCCATCATATTTGCATTTTGCTAAATGTGATTTCTTCCTTAAAAAACGATTTCTTCCTTAAGAATAAACATGAACTTGAAATACCTAAGCTACATAGAAACCCAATATGAGGATGGATTCGAGACAATGGATTTGTAAATAATCAAATTCCCCAAAGCTACCTTCTCCAGAACTCTGTTCCTTAGGTTCTTAGACGTTGGAAATATCTAGGTCATCGTGGTGTGACAGAAGAGAGCGATGGAGGTCTCACCGGTTTTCTATGGAAGATTACATCTTCTGTATATTGAGCTTTACATGTGAGAGAGATGAATTTCATGAAGGAGATGAAGCATATGTGTTAGAACGAACATAAGTTGAAAGCCTTTGAAAACCTTATAGTTATTATAAACGATAGTCACCTATCCAACTACTACTAGCAATAATCTCTACTGTGAAATAAATATTTCTAATATCAAAAAGATAATGAGTACTAACCTACTTACGTGAATGGTCTTTATTTAAATAAATTTACATAAATGGTGCCGGTGTGAAAATAATTAGTCACATAGAGGTCTTAATTGCTCTTTGCATAAAAGTAATGCATAAGTGGAAATAAAAAAAATGAAAGTATAATGCTATATTAAACACAAAAATGAAACTACATTTATTTTTTCTGTAAATTACCTTTTGGAGGTGATAATGTCATAATGAAGTTACATTGAGTTACAAAATCAACTATTTTTCTAAAAATTAACTTTTTTTTTTTTTTTTTTTTTTGTAATAGATAAGCTAGCTTCGAATTCTAAAAAATAGTTGCATGAATGATTGAATGGTCCAAATTTAAATAAATTAACATAAATGGTCCTGTACAAAGGTAAGGCATAAATGGAAAAACAAAAATAAAAGTATGATGTTATATTAGACATAAAAATGAAAGTACGTTGTTATTTTTTTAAAATTAACTTTTGATGATGATCTGCTAAGTTCTTAGATGAAAATACGTAAAGGAACCACATTTATTTTAATTACTTCATATTATCCACGCATTAGTTTGTATGATCCTCAACAAAATGCAAAAACTTAGTTTTTTACTAAATAGCTGAATAATAAAAGCAATAATTACATACAGGAAACAAAGTTTTCCAAAACTCACCATCAGTCTTAATTTTGAGCTTAAACCATCTTAGTAGCCCATGAAACCAGCATAATCAAGGATCCAACATGAAAAGAAAGAGTTGATGTTGCATGGAAATGGAAATGGAAAACATTCAAGACCTTCTTATTATAAATATTAATCACCACACTAAAAGACCACCAAATTGCAAAATACAGTTCAATTTTAATCTTCTGATCAGCCTCTAATTGAGCTCTTTAGTCCACATTGATATCCAATGTTTGCAAATGATGAGCCTTACACAAATCTTTGATTAACTTTTGTAATAGACCCACCAAAATCTTAATTATGGGAGGCTTGAAGGGGTTTCATGGAGGTGATTGATTATGGCTATATAATCCACCTTCAAGTCTCCTACACATTCCACCCCTTGAAACTTATGATAATAATCTAATTTTAGAATCACCTGTTGGAACTTTATATATATAAAGGAAAGAATAACAACATCACCCACTAAACTATCATGGTGTGTGTACAATTTTGCAATTTTGCAATTTTAGAATTACCCACTTAACCTTCTGTAATTTCAAACGAATTACCCACCGAACATTCTCTACATATGAAGCAAGAAAGCACGCACTAATATAGAATAATCCCATACAAAGAGATAATTAGTAATAGATAAAGAGATGAAAACAAACCAAAAATTAAGAATCCAAAACCAACATATATAATTATAATCTAAATAACTCTGGTATGTGTTTAGATGTGCTTTTGTGTGTATTAGATATAAAATTGAGACCACACGATGCTCAATAAATGCCGGAAATCGTTGATATTGTTAGCTTCACAAACATCTACAAAAAACTAAAAGAAATCAACAAAGTCAATAACAAATTATCAATAAACTAACTTACCCTTTACAAAGTCTTCTCCACACCAACTATCGAAATATCCAAATTTAATAGAAGACCCAAGTGATTTTATTAATCTCTTTCAAATAGATGTATGTAGGTTGGCCGTGATAGTGTGGTGACGACTTGCAACTGAGATATAGGAACAGGCAGTGGGTTCAGTGTTTATAGAAGATGAGAGAGGGTATGATCTTCTTTGTTAAATGCATTCTCAACATCATATCAAGAACTATTTTTGATACCTATACTGAGAACTGTTCTTGTGATGTGTTCTTATAATCATTTTAAAAAATTTTATAGTAATGAAGGTCGATGACTCAGCAACTAGAAATATAGAGATAATTAACAATGAAGTCAGCAGAGGCGATTCAAATTTGAATGAAGATCATTCCTAATTTACTGGGATTACTTTGCTAATCTTTGGTTTTGATTGTAGATTTTAGGGGATTGAACATAATCAAAAGGGAATGTGAGTATAGATAGAGGTCTAAGATATTCGAGCGGGAAACAAAACATTCATTAAGTTAATAACATAACGCCATGTGTCCCTAAAAACTATTATTTTATAATAGTAGGGATATTTATAGTTAATTTCAAAAAAGGTATAAAGTATGCATTCTACATTATAAAAATGACTAATATGAAACTATAAATGATATTTATGTAAATTGGTGGGACGATTCCATTTCTTTGAATAAGAACAAGGATGGCGAACATTGCGAAAAGCTATGGACCCTCCGTCCTATTATAGTGGATGCTTTCTCTAAAGTGAGTTCCAGCACAGATGTACATTATACTCAGTCTTCCTTTTTGCTTCTTCTCTGCAATTTATCATACCTTTGAAACAAAAACCCTCTACAAAGAAACCAATCATTCCTTTCTCCAAATCCCAATGGCTGAAATTGTTGTTAGCGCCGTCATCACGGTACTGTGTGAGAAGCTGATCTCTGGTGACTTGATGAAGCTCGCTCGAACAGAAGGAATCGATTCTCAGCTGCACAAATTGGAGAAAACATTGCCCCTGATCAAAGCTGTGCTTGCTGATGCAAACCAGAAGCACATAACAGAGAGAGCTGTTCAATTGTGGCTGAATGATCTCCAGGATTTGGCTTACGACATTGACGATATAGTAGATGATTTGGCCACAGAAGCTCTGCGACGCAGTTTGAATCAAGAAGCTCTTGCCATCATCCCAAATTGTTGTACTACGTTCACTCCTGGCAACATTATGTATGGTCGGAAGATGAGGTCTGAGCTAGATGAGATCACTGCAAAATTGCATGATCTTGTTGACCGGAAAGATGATCTGGGTTTGAATGTGAGTGTTGAAAGGTCAAATATAACAGAGAGACGTTTGGAGCAAACATCACTAGTTGATGAGTCTAAAATCATGGGTCGGGAGGGGGATAAAGAAGCATTGCTGAAGAAGTTGTTGGGAAATGAAGAAAGTGATGAAAATGTGAGCATAGTGTCGATCGTTGGTATGGGTGGAATAGGCAAAACCACTCTTGCCAAAGTTTTATACAACGAAGAGAAAGTGAAGGATCACTTTGAACTCAGGGCATGGGTTTGTGCTTCTGAAGAGTTGGATGTATTTAACATCAGCAAGGCTATTTTTGAAGCTGTAGGTGGGGATGCCAAAAGGTTGTCTAATCTTGATTTGCTTCATGTGGCCCTCAAAGAAAAACTTTTAAAGAAGAGGTTTCTACTTGTTCTAGACGATGTCTGGAACGAAGACCATAATAAGTGGGAACTCCTCCAGAGCCCTCTTCTTGTAGGGGCACCTGGAAGCAGAGTTCTTGTCACAACCCGGAGCACCAAGGTTGCATCGGTGATGGACTCAGAAGAAGCTTTTGATCTGGAGGTTTTGTCAAATGAAGATGCTCTATCATTATTTGCTAAACACGCGTTAGGTGAGAAAAACTTTCACAAACATCCTACACTTAAGTTGCTGGGGGAAGGTATAGTGAAGAAATGTGGTAGACTGCCGTTGGCTTTGAAAACACTTGGGAGGGTCTTGAAGGGAAATAGGAATGCTGATGAATGGGAGAAGTTGCTGAACACTGAGATATGGAATATAAATGATGGAAGTGAGATTCTTCCAGCTCTAAGACTAAGCTATTATCATCTCCCTTCACATTTGAAGTTATTGTTTGCATATTGCTCCTTATTTCCCAAGGACTATGAGTTTCAGAAGAACGATTTAATCCTACTGTGGATGGCAGAAGGATTTTTGTCCCAATCAGATGACAACAAATCAATGGAGAGCTTGGGTAGTCAGTATTTTGAAGAGCTCAAGTTACGGTCGTTTTTTCAACAATCAACGCATGATCAATTAGGATATACAATGCATGACCTTGTAAATGACTTGGCCACAAGTGTTGCAGGAGAGTTGTTTTATAGATCCGATGGGATGAACATATCCAAAAGGAATGAAAATTTTGAGAAGTTCCGTTACTTTTCACTTGTAGCTCCAAAATGGAAATCATACATAAAGCTTAAGGAATTACAAAGAGCTAAGCGCTTGCGAACGTTCTTGCCATCATCAAGTTCTCAAATCGACAGTGTTGTCGTTAAATCGCTTCATGAACTACAGTTCCTAAGGGTGCTAAGGCTAAGTGGACCGGGAATCACACAAGTACCACAATCTATTGGCAGTCTCAAGCATCTACGGTATCTTAATTTTTCTTTTACTGATATCAGATGTTTGCCCGAACAAGTTAGTGACCTTTATAATCTACAAAGCTTATTGGTTCGTGGTTGTCGTGAGTTATCGGACTTACCAAAAAGTTTTGCAAAGTTGATAAACCTTCGACATCTTGACATAGATGATACTCCAAATCTGAACAAGATGCCCTTAGGGATTGGTGGTCTGACAAATCTACAAACTCTATCCAAGGTCATAATTGAAGAAGCTAACGGGTTCAAAATAACCGATCTTAAAGGCCTATCGGATCTTCAGGGTGAACTTTCCATTATCGGGCTCGACAAATTGATAGATCCAATACAAGCAAAGGATGCCAACTTAGATCAAAAAAAGGGTCTTGAAGTTTTGGAGATGAGATGGAGCAATGTATTTGATGATTCTCGGAATGAGATGATTGAATATGAAGTACTCAAAGAACTAAGGCCTCATCTGAAGTTAAAAGTCCTCAAGATTTCGAATAACAAGGGAACACAATTTCCTAGTTGGGTGGGTGATCCCTCGTTTGATCAGTTAACAGAGCTTATGTTACGGGGTTGTAAAAGTACACACTTACCAACACTTGGAAATCTACGGTCTCTTAAGAAACTGGTGATCAGTTCTTGTCATTTAATAACGTCGCTGGCCTTCTCAATAGTGCAGGAGCACCCATCATCTCTTTCCAAGAAGATTGTCAGTGATAGTGATTGTGATAACATACCACCCAAACCCATTCAAGCAAATGATTTCCGTTTTCTACCCATGCCTCGCCTAATATCTCTTCAGATCAGTTATTGCAAGAATCTGAAGTCTTTTCCTTTTCAAAGTCTCACATCTTTGGAAAAACTGTTGATACTAGAGTGTCCAAGTATGGAGTATTCCTTTCCTTGTGGGATGTGGCCTCCTAATTTAAGAAGTCTAACGATAGGAGGCTTAAATAAGCCGATGTCAGAGTGGGGCCCCCAAAATTTTCCAACCTCACTGGTTGAACTACACTTATATGGAAAAAATTCAGGAGTAACTTCATTTGCAGTGGCAGCCGATACTACTACTCCATCATCATCATCATCTTTTCTTCTTCCACCATCTCTGGTTTCTCTAAGGCTCGATTATTTTATGGATGTGGAATCATTTTCAGAGGTCTTAAGACACCTCCCCTGCCTTAACAAACTTGATATTCATTCATGCCCGAAGATTAGAGATCTTAAGACAACTTCCGGCCGATCAAAGTTGATGATAAGCATGTCGCATTGGTAAGAATTCTGAGCAAACTCTTTTAGATGAGCAGCCCAATAGGCCCATTAATATGAAAATTTGTCAAAGGTGACACAAGACACGTGTAGGGGAGTGATCAATGCAGTTAGTTATTTTGTTGTGGGAATCGATGGGGAAGGATGGTTTTTCTTTTTTGATTTCATTTTCTCTTTATTACTTATTGAATTCAATTTCTGTACTTTTTGCTTTTTAATAATTATCCCAACGTATTTGCAACATCAGTTTTGAGACTTATTTGTTTTGTTTGTTAATAAGATTATTTTAAACAATTCACTGATAATCAAAACTAGTACCAAAAGAAGAAAAAAACTATAAGTGCGGTAGTTGAATAGCTTTTCGGTTTTCATACAAGTTTTACCACTAAGTTGCTGTGTTACCGTTTGAGGAAGAGTTGAAAGAATATTTGTATCTTGTCTTTATATAGGTTGCAACTGTGTTATTTTATCTGCAGTTTTACATATCTTTGTGTTTTCTTTTTCGGTGTCATGTTTTTGTTTTCATTGATGTTTGCTTTGAATAACCTTATCCGTTGAATAATTACTAGAAAAATATATTAAGTTATATGTACAATTTGAACTTCAATCCAGAAACTTTGACCCTTTAGAGGTCAAACCCTATTGTCTATAACATATTGATTTTGATAAATTTTCTACAAATTTGATAGCATCTTAATCCCTCTAATTTGTAATATTTTTTTGCATCGATTTCGAAGTTAGAATTAGTCCATTTGACATCAAAACTTTTCCAGTTCTTTGTTTAAGCATGAGTAATTGTGTTTTTATGTGTTTATCCTTTTCTTATTGTCTTGGGGTCATATTTCTGATTATAATTGTTAATAAGTATCATAAGTACGTATGATGTAAGTCTACACATTCTAAATTTCTACAAATATTTTCCCAACTTCTTTGTTCACTTTAGTGATTAAATGTCTACAAATATCCAGTTAAATGTGATCTTGGCATGTTTCTATAATTGAGTTTCATTCAGAGAAAATTGCTCAATTTCTGTAGGTGAAAGTTCGAGGAAGGCTACAGTGTCACAACAAGAAATATAAGTATTAGAGGCGACAATATTAGAGACGAAATGACTTATTAGCGACGACATGTGACAACACGTGCATGTGGCGTCGCTAAAAGCTTCCTGTCGCCGCTAATGTGTCGTCTCTAATAGCACACGTCGACGATCCGTATGCTTTCGTCTAGAATCAATCTCGGCCGTTCACTTTTCATCTAATTGAATGGACATGGTTCCTCCATACGAATGAAATAGCGGCGACCCTAATAGAGACGCAGTCGTCGTCGCTACAAGTCACCAAAAAAGACGTGGGACCCGTTCCCTCCAACATGTCGCCCCAATTCCTAACCCGTCGCCGCAAATACCGTCGCCGCTAAAGGGATCGCCCCTTTTACTACAGCATCGTGTCTCAGAACGGGTGACAGCCCCATTTCATTCCTAATCCTACTCTCGGCTATTTTCCGGCGATTTACCACCACAACACCTCCTCCATTCGATTTTTCAGGCAACCACCACCACAAAACCTCTCCTTTCTCCTTTCCACTTCACTCCTCCTCTTCCCCATTAGATTAGCCCGTTTTTCCGGCTGTGATAAGTTTTCCTGCGAGAAAACTTGCTTTTCTCCGGCATCTGCAGCGAAGGTATGTGCTCCTTTTCCTCGTTTCTCTTTCAATTTGTTTTCTGTAACAAACTTGTATGGTAATTTGGTATTTTGGTGGTTTGATAGCTTCTTCTCCGGTGAAACCACCTCATCTCCGACGACATCACTTTTTCTCCGGCGACAACGAGAAATATAACCACACCACAACGATTTTCCAGGTTTATTTTATTTTATTTTTCTGTTTTTAATGTGGTATATGAAATGTTGTGTATGTGTATTTGTATTTGTATGTGTATTTGTATATGAAATGTATATGTATGTATGAAAAAATGTGTGTATAAATGTATTTGTATGTGAAATGTATATGTATATGTGTATTTTTATATGAAATGTATGTATATGCATGAAAAAATGTGTGTATAAGAGTAATTATATGTGAAATGTATGTATATGTGAAAAATCTATGTATATAGGTGTAGATATATGAAAAACTTTATGTGAAAAATATGTATGTTTATGGAATGTATGTATTTGTATATGAAATGCATATGTATATGTGTATATTTATATAAATATGTATGTAAAAATGTATGTATATGTTTGTATATGTATGTAAAAGTGTATATGTATGTGTATTTGTATGTGAAATGTATGTGTGTATATTGTATATATATATGATGTTATAATTGGAAATATGTATATGTATGTGTATGTGTATTGGAAAAATAAAAAATAAAAATAAGTTGATATTAACACTAAAAATATGGAAAAATGTATATGTATGTGTATCTTGATTTTTTATAATTTTCTATCTAAGAGATAATAATGCAATCAATACAAACTATTAGAAAAACTATAAACATTAAACATGGACCATTTAAAATTTACACCTCGAACAAAAATTTAGATTCCACCTATTACAAACTCAATCATAAATGGGCCAAATAGGAATCAAAGACAAAAGGGTTATTAATTTTTTTTTATGACCACCACATGTAGATTAATTTTTTTTAATAAAACAGTTCCACACGACTAACACATACATATCAATTTGGCTGCATATAAAATACGAAGGTCATCTTTAAATGCATAAAAAATTAAACGGACAACCAATTAAAAAGAAATAAGATAACAATATCTATTATCATTTAAAAGATATAAAATAATTTGTGTCATTCGTGGCAAAGCAGCTCGCCCACTAAATTGATCTGAAAAAAAAAATTATAAATAACATGAAAAAAAAATAATATAAATAACAAATATATAATATCGTTTAAAGTACAATGTTATAAGAAAAAATAAAAATGAAAAATTAAGACGCTAAATCTACTAAGTTATAATTACTCAAAATAGAAAAATAAAAACAAAAATAAGTTGGGATTAAAAATCAAAATATGGAAAAAACAGATGATATAAATAACAAATATATAATATCATTGAAAGTACAATGCCATAATAAAAAATAAAAATCAAAATTAAGACGCTAAAGTACAATGGTATAATAAATAAGTTTTTTTTAGTTTAAGTCTCTTCTTTTTAAATCATCAAAAGCCTAGAAATACCCGCCCGAAATTGATTTAGAAATTAATTTCGGGTTGTCCCCATTTTGGGACTACTTTTTGAATACCTTACCTCAATTAGGATGTAAATGTGTATTACATGATTAATTGTTTAAGAAATATTCGGTTGTTATTTTCTCTTTGCTCCTCGATATATAATTTTATATATACTTAGGAGCTAAGGGGAAATGCTGCCGAACTTTTCTTAAATGGCCAATCGTGTAATACACATTTGCATATGAGGTAAGATATTCAAAAAGTGGGTTTAGAAGCCTACCATTGTGAATACTCTCCCGTTATCTGGTTTTCTATTCCATCTGATTGAGTGGTTACTCTATCCTTATAAATATTCAATCCTAATTCTAGTTATTGTAGAGTAAACATTAAAACCTAACATATATTTCAGTTGCAACATGTCTATTGATAAAATGTGGACTACTATTGAAAACCGTAACTCTACCTTGTTCCAACAAGGACTCGAATCTTTTCTCGAGAGGTCCAAACCACACATCAATAACAAAGGTCAAATCAGATGCCCGTGTAACAAATGCAATGTCAATAAATTTATACTACTACCCATAATGAAATTCCATATACTTCAACATGGTTTTTGTCACAACTGACAATTCTAGCTAGGAAATTATATTCCTGTGTAACCATTCAATAGTTGTAAAACATATACTTTAAGTAAATCTCACTCAATGCTCAGTTAGATTCATCAATTATATTCCTCAAAGAGTCTGAAGCCCTAAGATTCATGGTTTAAGTCCATTTTGAACTAGGAGTTCCTTATTGGGCCTAATGGACTAATAAGCACCCAATTCAACTTTATTGGACTTAGAAGCCCTAATTGGATACTAATTGGATCCAATTCATAAATCTAAAACATTTTGGACCATTTGGGCCTAGAATGATTCATTCTAACCCTAATGGGCCTTATTGGGCCATAACTAGTCCAATTAACCATTAGTGAGCCATAAGCCCATTCTTTTACTCTAATTGGGTCGTGAATGCTTCCAAGAGCCCATTGGGCCGAAAAACCTTATGTTTAGGGTCCAAGTATCATAGCTAAAGTTATTGGGCCAAATCTACTCTTTCCTCCTAGCCCAAATATCGGCCCAAGTATAAAACAAAAAAAAAGGAAAAAGAAGTATTATGGGGAGGGTTGACTTTAGGAGGTGTCACCTCCATATTACACACCATATATCCATGCATTGACCAACATGCATCCATAATAGTCACTTCACTTCTCTCTCTCTCCACTCTCTTCTTCTTCTCGGCCGAGAGCCACCAAACACACACATACATTACACAAATTCTCTCCATTACTCTCAAAGATCATCCTCTTCCTTCCTTCAAAGAAATCTCGAAAATTTAGCTTGGATTCAAGGATCTTCATCAAGTGTTGTCAATCTTTGGTAACTGCTATCAAACACAAACATCTTTTTTCATTTCAACATCTAGAACTCTTTCTTACAAAGCTTTACTCCATGAACACCTTAGAAGCTTCTTAAGTCCGAAATCAACTCAAGGAGGCTTGCTAGGACCAAAAATCTTCTTCATTTCTCTTCAAAAACCGAAACATCGAAGCAAAGGTGAGTTCATACCCCCTTGTTTTCGGTTTTACATGATTTTTGGGGGAGAATACAAGTAAAATGTGTAGATGTTTTGTGTGAATCCTTAGTTTATTTGGTAAAAATGTGTTAGATCTTAGTGAATCTCGAAATTTTAAGTGTATGTAACAAAGATCTAAGAACTACAACACTATATACAACATATTATCAAGCCAAAAGTGAACATATGTTTAAGATGCAAAAGAACTCAACAAAAATCTTGTTAAAGGTTAAAAATTATCAAGAAAACAAAAGACAAGGGTAGAAAGTAAAAATTCTGTTTTTTAAAGGGCCAAACTGGTCCCACATGTATAAAAAAGTATTTTTATGCTAAACATGTTTTCATAGGGATCAAAAATGCAAATTTAAGCTTATTGGGCCAAACTTTTGGGCCTCGCGGCTTTAGGGCCCAATTTGCGGAAAAAATGAGGTTTGAAGGTTAGAAATGTTATTTTGGCCAAAATTGTAGTCATAAGTGTAAATAAACCATGTTTAGAGGTGAAAATGTCATTTATTTTCGAATTGGACCAAAAATGTAAAGTTTTCCAAAATTGGGCCGAAAATGTAAATTTTTACAATCAAGGGGGCTGAAAATGTATTTTTCTGCAAAACAGGGTTCTAAATGTGAAAACATAACATTTTGGGTTAAAACTATAAGTTTCTAGTCATTTGGGGACAAAATTTCAAACTTTTATAAATTATGGACTAGAGCGTCATTTTTACGAAACTTTGAGCCTTAATTAAAGATTTGAGTATTATTGGCCAAAAATGTCATTTTTACAAAATGAAAGCTTTTTATCATCAGTCTATTAAGCCTCGAATTAAAACAAACAACCGAATCAAACGAACGAACGAAATACGTTAAAAACTATTTATTGGGCTTAATATTCATATTTCTTGGCCATTGGGCCCTAAGGGCCCAATTGAGTGTGAAATGAGCCCAATGTGTTCCATGATATGTTTGTTGGGTCTTGTGGCCCACTTACATGTTAGTTTGGGCCTAAGTTATGGATTACATGTTTATTGGGCTTTTGTGGTCCATTTACATGCCTATTGGGCCTAAATTACCCTTATACATGTGACTGGGCCTTTGTGGCCCAATTTCATACTAATAGGGCTTGGAATGGAAAATTCATGTGTTAGTAAGTTGTAACGATACCCTTATGAAATCATAAAACTCCGTAAATTTATTCAAGTACCTTTCGAATACAAAACATCTCACAAATA